CGCAGGGAAGTCCCCAACCCGCTTCTCCTTTTCCTCCCTTAGTTTTGGGAAGTGATAAGCGATGAGCATGGCATCGACCCAGCCGGAGGCTATGTCGGTGACTCAGCACTGCAGCTGGAAAGGATCAATGTCTACTACAATGAATCATCGTGTGAGTGTGGGATGGGGAGGGGTGCGGGAGAGGGGACGCTCTGGGAAGGGGCACAGCAATCGGAGTGAACGGGTTTGTGAAGCTGCGTTACATATCTGGTCACGCTCCTCGCGTGCCATCAGCTAATCCCAGCTCACCCCATTATGCACTTTCTTATAAACTGATAACTGGGTGTTGCCTCCGCAGGCAGAGAGAAATGGCACAAGGGGCTGTCCTTAGGGGCTGGAGGTGGAGGTTTGTTTATTTAATACTGTGCTAGCCATTTGCTCTTTTAACGTATGATTATTTCATCAGATGTGTCTTATCGATTGCCCCAAATTAAACTGTTGGTTATATGAGCCTGCATCTGTAGTACTCTGATTTCATGACTGAGAGGGTGGGGCCACAGGTAATGGAGAACTCAACGGTGATTCATTAATAAGATGCCAAAGGCGCCCAAATCCTCTGAGTCAGTCTCGTGTTGAAGGGTGTTAACAGTGTAAAATGGGGATCATGAGTCCTTGGGTCTATTGACATGAACCTGCAAGTGCGAATGTTTCATCTTTTGTCCAGCTCAGGTTAATTCATGTTATTTACCTGAGTTTCCTTCAACAATTTCAACTGGATACAGATTCTTTATTTTGTGCTTTGTGGTAGATGTGCTGACTACTACTGTTTGCCACCTACACCAAGTAGCTCTTTCAGTAGAGGTGAAGCCTTCAAGCATAAAAGCTTGTGAGATGTATTGGGATCATTTGAACATAAACCCTCCACTCACCCCATTACTCACAGAAAAGACTGTCTACTTTCTTATAAAGAACATGTCAACCATTTTTTCTAATCAGAAACTTCCCTCCCTCATATCTATTGCTAAAAAAGAACTTACAAAATGTAATACGTCATCTGTAGGACCCAAAAGATGTCAGGTCTGTTTTTCAAGCAGAATTGATTTGTTCCTGTGGTGCTGGGTTTTTTCACCACCATGACTTCCTGTATAGGAAATATTTATATATGTACAATCTATATTAGACTAATAATATGAGACATAATGTATTTGTGTATTGAGAGTTGTAACTGTGTTAGCTTATTTCAGAACATTAAGGGCATGCTTACTTTTTGTTGTAGCCCAGAAATTCGTACCAAGAGCAGTCTTAGTGGACTTGGAGCCGGGAACCATGGATAGTGTGCGATCCGGTCCTTTTGGTCAGCTCTTTCGGCCTGATAATTTCATCTTTGGTATGTGGATGTCACTTTTTAAAAAACAAAACTATCCAACAGATGTTTGATTACCAAGTGAATGGTCAAAAAGCATTTAAGCTCCCTATTCCGAAGTGATTGTTAGTACTGAGAAATCCTAATAGCTTAACAATACAATTCCAATTATCTGTAAGTCAGCTAAAAGATCCTGTTAACTGAAAAAGTCATTCTGCTGTTAATCATTCCTTCAATTAGCAAACTACTGAAAATTTCCTATGGTATTCAGATAAAGTACATTTGATTCCCATGTATACGAACTCCAGAGAAATCCTGAGACCACAGGATTCTTTACAACAAAATGCATGGAAATTCTGCAGAAAATGGAGGGGGGGGAACCTCAACCACAAACCAGCCAGACTACTCCTAAATTCACATTAAATGCTTGAGCATTAAATTGTTTATAGGCTGTGTAATTCAACTTTTTCAGCAGGTCCTTACAGTGTAGTAAACAGTGGAGGAAGACCAACTGTAATAGGAAAACATTGTCATATATAGCCAGTTACTGGGTTATTTTCCAACATAATGAGGAACAGTCTGAGAGCATGCGGGGAACTTCTGGTTTTGCAGTGTTCTTGCAGAGGGTTGTTCTAGCCTTTACTATTTCACTTTGGACTTCTGTAGTACTTTCCATCTAAGCTTAAAAATGCACATTACCAGGATTAAATTTCATAGCATCCTTACAAAGTACGGAAGCATTATCGGTCCCTTTGCACTAAAGGAGAAACGGTGTGTGAAAGTGAAGTGATCCACTTGCTGAAACAGGAAGTCTGAATGAAAGATACTGCAAGAATTGTCGTGTCCTTTTGGTTTCCAAGTCTGCACTAGCCACAAAACATTTCCTCCTGCCAAGGCAAGCTTAGGTTGCAACTTAGTTTGGTATATTGTGTTAACATAAGGGAGGAACAATGCCAGGGACAGACAGAGAAAAGAAAAACATTGTTTGGGTGGTATAAAACAAACTTAAGTGTGGGTTGTTGCTTTTGAGGTGGGGAGTAAGAAGCCATACAGAGTTACTTTAACACTTTAACTGACATAAAACTTCCAATGCTGTCCCTATTGTTCTCCTGTATGCTCCATGGCAGCAATGTTAAGGGTCTCTTTCAAAGGAATTTTAAATTACAACAAGTAGAAGTAAGCTTGGGGAGAAAAGCCATAGACATAGGCAGATTTATGAAGTTTGTTTCTATATTCAGGTTTCTCCTTTCACTCCCTTTCTCCTGCATGGACCACACAAGCCCTCTGAAAGTGAATCCACCTGACCTATGGAAATACCTGAGCTGGAGCTTTACAGTTTGGCATACCACCAGTAAAACCAGAGCAAAATCAATTCAGAGTGTCTTCAACAATAGTCCTCCAGTTCACTGTACTCCCTTCCTGCCAAACTAACAATGAACCAACAGCATGTGATCAACTCGTATCTGACAGAGGCCCCTGCCAACATCAGGCACTGTCCTCCCAACCTGCTGAATAATGCAGAATGGCTGCCTGAGCGCTGAAGTAATGATCTTCTGTGTCAAAAGCCAACAAAGCATTTTGTTTTCTCTTTTAAAAAACCAGCCTGGGCCCACAAAGGATTTTGTGGCAGAAGCTGGCAGTTCCATACTTGCTGTACCCCAGGCTGTTAGGGCTCATTTTAATGGAGATGTTTTCCGCCTCTGCTTGTATATACCTGCATATGCCCATGTCTCCACAGCAAGTAACCGTGGACCATCAATCAGGATTTCATTCACGTATATTGAGTACATGGTCATGCACTCCAGACACAGTAATTTTAGCTCAGACCAGCAGGAGACCGAGATGGACACAAAACAATCCTTGTGCTTTAATGCTTGTGTTGACAAGGTAGTGACCTAAAAGGTGAAGAAGCGCAGGTGGAATGATCTTGCTGTATGAGAGCAGCAGGTCTCCTGGCCTTCTAACAGCATATGATTGCCCACCAGGAACTGCTGTGAACTCTGATGTATCTCCTCTTGTTAACCAGTTTTCATTTGTACATTTTTGCATTTGTCATTCTTTTCTTGTATCACCCTTGCTAGCTTTGCTGTATGGATACCACCCCAATTTAAGTTGTCTGAACTGGTAGGGGCAACCACAAAATGGCTGTTAGCCAGTCAAAGGAGCTGTCCTTCCCTCTCTAAATCATACCGTGTGTTCTGCACCAAGGCTGTTCGTATTGGGTTTCTAAGCGTTAGTGTGCAAGCTACTGATCTCTCTGCTCAGGTTTGTCTTTTATTTCAAGCAGCGAAGAGAGGAAAGGAGTGAAAGAAGATTGCAGGAAATAGTTGCCATTTTAGGGATTAAAAAATAAATTGACCATTAGACAAATGGCTTCTGTGCATGTGCAGCTCAACCTGAACATGTGTGGTAACCCTACAATGCGTTAGGGAAAGAAATAGTGGTAGGAGGACCTGGAGGTACCAAGAGTGCAGATAAGTTGTGGGATTGCTTTGTGTAGCCTACCTTTAGACGTCGGTAAATGCACAGTGGAAAAAAGGCAGAGGCAGGTTGCTAGAGATGGGCTGCATGCAATGCAGAGCTTCCAGGATTGGCAAAAGATCTGCCAAGTCCTGATTTTTGTGGACACAGGCTCATTTTCCACCTAGAGATTTAGTTCTGGTGGAATTCGATAATTTTATGTGTTTGTCTAAGATTTTCAGAGGTCTGGTAGGTACCTGATAAGTGGAGGGCATCCAGTAGGGTTTCACAGGACCATGATCAAGATTTCCAGGTGTGTGGCAGCCTTGTCAGAGCCATGGCACCTCCAGACTGTACTGTATTGTCATGGGTAAGAAGTTTGGAGCTTCCAGGGCTAATTGTACATGTTCTGTGTGGTGGCGGTGGTCTTACAGTGCTATAGAGCCAGTGGGTCTGGAAGTATCAGATTACTGGGCATATACGTGTGCGCAGCAGGAAATCTCACATGAAAATGTTGGAGACCCTCGGCAGGTGGCTGACTAGTGGACAAAGTGCAGTGTTACCACAGGAGTAGCCGATAGTTGTGGGCTGGAAGGAAGCCGTTAGTATTGGTGTAGGCAGTTGCTGCTACAGTTCCACTCAGCAGTTTAAATACAAAGGTTGTATAAGTGCAATAGAAAGAGGTGATAGTAGTCGTGTGGGCATCCAGGAGTTTGTGTGACTCGGACTAAGACTGAGGGAGTCTAGTGCAGTGGAGGGCCCGAAGGAAGACAGGTCCACCTCTGTGTTAGGCATTTTACCTCCTAACTTAATTTGCAAACTAAGCAAAAGCAAGTAAAATCAGTCTCTACTGATTCTTTTTTTCCCCCATGAAAATATCATTTCTACATTTGTGAGAGTAATTGCCATTCTCCTCTTACCTTGTTCTTTGTTCCTATTCTCCATTCTGTCCTTACCTCACTGCCCACTGAAGAAGGATGATATGATGTTTACACAAGGGGCAATCTATAAAATGAAGTCCTAAACTCAGAATTTAGCTCTGTTAGGATCCTTCTGCATCTTGGAGTGATGTCTGCTTGTTAGTGTGCATCCTGATGTGCTGCCCTACCTGTAGTAGGGGATCTGATCAAGCAGACTGCAGATGGTTACAAACATATTTAATTCTGGAAGGATATTACTTTGTGCTTTGCCCAGCTGGACAGGAAGTGCTGAGCTCCCTAGGCTCAAAGAGAGAAAAATATAGCAACATATAGAACAATGCATTAACTAACCAAATGCATAATGAGGAAACCAAGCATTTATTCAGTGAAAATAAAGTGCATCGTATTTGAACAATATCCCAGCAAGCAGTTTCCCTGATTCATGTGTTTGGCACCAACACAGTGCACTGGGAATTGAAATGAGACATGGTCATAGGAAGGAAGGGGAAGGTCTTGGAGAACAACGCAGAAGCTGACAGCCCTATACCTAATTCTGAAACTATTGCTCTTTCTGAATACCACTCACAAGAGTACCACTAAGTGAGTTCAGTGGCACAATGTATGTGTGTAGTAGTCACTGTGAGGAACAGGAGTATTAAAAAACTGGTCCCCCATTTAATCCTCCTTGTTATCTAAGTAATAACAAAATAGTGACATAGCAAAGGATCCAGACTGTCCATCTTAATAAACTGAGTGGCACATAAAAGGAAAATGGAAGCCTTGGGGAGAAACTAAGGGGCTCATGAAACGTTAGTAACCCAATTTTGCAAGTTGCTTTGCAGATCCTGAAGAATAGTGAGTTTGCAGGGAAAACAGTAAAAGCTAAAAGGCACTTAATAAAATTCCAATTTTTTGAAATAACATTCTTGAAGCTTCTGTCCATCAGTATTTTCATTCAGGCTAGGTAACCATGAATTAAAAAAGCTATACTTCTTGATATAACAAGTTAAATAGGACTTCTGAAGCCCAGCCTTGTCCTTGTATGACAACAGTGCCTCTGTGTCTCACGGGAACAGTCCAAGAACCTTTCATTTGGAAATGTGTATCTGTGATATAGCTTTGTATACTTCATGATCCTTATAAAAAGAAAGTATTTAAATATTAAACAGTCATCTTGTGTTTATGGAATAAGCAGGACTGGGAGTGTGAAAGCTTTCAAAACAAGGAGTCAAGGCCATCTTTGCATTTATGGAAGGTTAAATACCAAAAAAGAAAAAAAACCACCCAAAGGCATAAATTAAAACTACCAGGGATTTGAGGCAAAAGGGGACTATATAAAAAGTTTATGTTGATGTTTCCAAAGGTATTTGTAGGCAAAACTGAAGAGCACAGTTATCTACCTGACAGATTTATAGCAGCTTTTGTTACAGATATGAATCCATTTAGCATGCAAATACCAAGCCTTACCAATAATTTTGTATGTTTTCTTTCCCTATTGTATGTTATTTTAGGACAAACTGGTGCAGGAAACAACTGGGCTAAAGGACACTATACAGAAGGGGCAGAGTTGGTTGACTCTGTACTTGATGTAGTAAGAAAAGAGTGCGAACACTGCGATTGCTTGCAAGGATTTCAGCTCACTCATTCCCTGGGAGGAGGGACAGGATCTGGCATGGGAACCCTACTCATCAGCAAGATACGAGAGGAATATCCGGACAGGATAATGAATACCTTTAGTGTCATGCCCTCTCCAAAGGTTTCCGATACAGTGGTGGAGCCTTATAACGCTACACTCTCGGTCCACCAACTGGTTGAAAACACAGATGAAACCTACTGCATTGACAATGAAGCTTTGTATGACATTTGCTTCCGCACCCTGAAGCTCACCACTCCAACATACGGTGATTTAAACCACTTGGTTTCTGCTACCATGAGTGGGGTAACTACATCCCTGCGTTTTCCAGGCCAACTAAATGCTGACCTCCGGAAGCTGGCAGTAAATATGGTCCCTTTCCCACGCCTTCACTTTTTCATGCCAGGCTTTGCTCCTTTGACAGCTCGAGGCAGCCAACAATACCGAGCACTCACCGTTCCAGAGCTCACCCAGCAGATGTTTGATGCCAAAAATATGATGGCAGCCTGTGACCCAAGACATGGCCGATATTTGACAGTGGCTACCGTCTTCCGAGGTCCCATGTCCATGAAGGAGGTTGATGAGCAGATGTTGGCCATCCAGAACAAGAACAGCAGTTACTTCGTGGAGTGGATTCCAAACAATGTCAAGGTGGCAGTGTGTGACATACCTCCTCGTGGCCTCAAGATGGCTTCCACATTCATTGGCAACAGTACTGCTATTCAAGAGCTCTTCAAAAGGATCTCAGAGCAGTTTTCAGCCATGTTTAGGAGAAAGGCCTTCCTCCACTGGTTCACAGGAGAAGGAATGGATGAAATGGAATTTACAGAAGCAGAAAGCAATATGAATGATCTGGTTTCAGAGTATCAGCAATACCAAGAAGCAACAGCAAATGATGGAGAGGAAGCGTTTGAAGATGATGAAGAAGAAATCAATGAATAAAGAAATTAGGTGCGCTATTTTCCAGGCCAAATTCTCAAATCTGGATTTCTAATAATTAGGCTAATAAATCCATATTTAGGCTTCAAAAAAAGAAAAAAAAGAAAAAGGAGCATAAGTCTCAGATGTTAGAGGTGCTCTTCAGAGTCCATTGAGGTCACTGAGAACTGAGGACATTCAGCATTTCTGGAAATCAGGTCATTTCTATTCATGAGACAAACGTAAGGCATTCAGTTAAGACTAGCCTAAGAGTCTGAACACAGAGGTTGCTAGTTTGGGATCTTTTTTTTCCCAAACAAAGTTTGTCGTCACTAAAGTTGTACAAGAGAAGACGTAAAATAGGCGTGAAAATCTACAAAATAGAGCTGCACTATTTTCATCCAATTATGAGTAAGAAAATGTTGTGGGTTTGAAGTATTCATTCTGTACCGAATGTACAATACTGAACTGCCAGGAACAAAATTTATTCATAATAAAAAGAAGAAAAAGTTTTTAGCTGTTCTGTACAGTAACTGTTAACAGTGATATTTGACTCCAGTCCTCTAAAAACAAAATAAAAAAAGATTAGTATCCTCTCAAGCAAAAGCGTTTTGGGCAGTCAATGCTATATAAATATCCAGTCAGCTGCAGGCCAGAGGCTGGATTTATGCTATGTGACTTCATCACTTGCTGCTGAATAATCACAGATTACATATATGAAATTTATCCATTTGTGATGTGTTCTTTAAGGACCCTTGGGGTTTAAAGTGGCACCCCAATATCTTGCCGGTCCCCTGTTTTTCTGGCTATCACCAGTTACTGGTGCTATTCCTATCTATCTCCCTTCCACCTAGCCCATATAGCTGAAATTCAGATACTCCACGGAACATGGTGGGAGAGGGGACATCATAGGCTATGTGTCGATATATCTCACTACCTAGGTTTATAAGTTCACCACACCTATAGATGCTATGGATGTCTTGTTACCAAGACAGGTTAAAATCACTGGACAGATTAAGGTTAAAGTACAAATAAAAGTATTTATTCACAATATTCAAAACAGATGGCAAAATGAAAGATGAACAACAGTTTATCTGCTTACACTAAAGCTGAAACAGAAAGGTCTCTGTCTTGCCCGGCTGACTTGCCGCCTTGACAAAGTGACCGTTGGGCATTCGCTCTTCGTGCATGCTTTATGTTTCTGCTTGTATCACTTAAACAGCCCTTCTCCATTAGAGAGCCTCTACCAGAGAACACTCTGTCTACATGGAGTCTCTTATTTAGGTCAGTTTCTAGGCAACAAAACAAGCAAACAAAGGCGAAACCATCCGGAAATCCAAACTTAAGATGTTTCAGGAACTCTTTGCTCTTTTTCTTCTTGCCTTCAGAAGCACTTTCTAAGCAAAAGTGTTGCTCAATACTTAAAAAGGCACTTTACAAACATGGTGCAATTTCCAAAGATCCACTGCTCCTAAAAAAGATGATGTTATGTTTTGTTAGTCTGGGATTCAGGGAGTGAGACAGTATTTTATGAAGTATATGAACCAGGCAACTGTTAATCACATAAGCATAAGCTACACAGAAATAGAACTAAATTAGTTTTAATCAAGTACAAGTTTTTCATATAAAGTGACTTCATGGGTTGAGACAGACAGTCGGAACGTACTGACCACACTGGCTTTGGCATAGGTGGATAGGCAGAGACTGGGAGGGCCTGGCTGATTGTCTTTTGAAGGGTCACGATGGAGTCAGCAAATTCACAGGGGCCACATTCTTTGCAATGGCTAGTGATGCCTGAAGAACTTACGAATAGCAACAGAGCACCTTTAAATGTGCATTTTATAAACGTTGTGATATGTTGTGGCTATGTATTTATCATGGCGTGAGATTAAGCTAAAACACAATACGCCTTGAAGAGAAATTAACATTTAGTGCAATACAAAGCAAAATCCATGGGGAATAAAGCCATTAAACTTAGCAGTTTAGTTGATGCTTTGTAAATGGCAGGCTATTAGCTTCAAGAGGGAGGAGAATGTGTTACAGGCTCAGAGCTTGCCATCATACAGCTGTGGCACAGACTTTTCAATTAAAGCACTAGCATAGCTTCTTCTGAATGAAGTAGAACCAACCATCTTACAGCGTGTGGAACTGCATTTTGTTGTAACACAGAATTCATAACGAGGTCCCAGCCATAAATTCTGATATTACTATGAAAAAAAAAGTTAATACTTTAAAAATGCCAGGAATCTTGGAGTTCCTAAATAATTGCGTTACTCACTTGGTGAACCAGCCTGTTCTTTATTGCTTTTCATACACAGACTCGAGATCCAGAATATAGACTCTGAGCCTGTGGAATCCAGACCTAACAACGCCCTCTGATCCTGCTTTTGATGCTAAACCATTCTTTCGCATGTGTTTACTTGCAACTGTTTGATGTGAATTTCTAGAATGTGTGGAGGTGGGGGAAGCAAACTAATGCCCTCTTTAGAAAAAAAAGACGACAGATCTTCCATCTGATCTTAGGGGGGAAAAAAACAACTCACCAAAATGAACCCAGGAACCCATACTAGGAACATCGTCAGAGGACCAGCTTGCACGTAAGCAGTAAGAAAGCTGTGGGAAGCACAAATGCTTACTGATCCTCTTCAGTCGACCAACTCTAACTATCTTCCTTTCCTGACATAAAACTGAAAATTGTTTTAGTAACAGGTTTGGTGAACAATTCCTTCAGTTGCACTTCCTTTCAAATAACTTCATGTTTTTCCCTTGGAAACTTCTCTTTTATTTTGAAATCTACCTGCTGAGGCCCACCTAGCTTTGTTCCTCTTCTTTTCACATTCCTCACCTATGTGTTTTTCATTTTCCCCCTAGTTTTTCAACCTACTCTCTTGCACCTTTTCTTTCTGTGCCTGGCCCACTTTCATTTTTCTCTCCTTTTTACTGCTTTGCACCTGGCCACAGAGAAATACACGGAAGCAGGCTGCCAGGACAAGCCAGACCTAAGGCGGCCTAGAAGTGCAGCTCCCAGTACCGCCCAGACACAAACACCCCTACCAACACTAGGATGAGGGGAAAATAAACCTGGCAACCTCCACCACTGACTCCACTCATAAACAGGGAGTGGGCGAGGTGTTCCACGGGAAGAAGGTGTGGTACCAGGACAGAGACAGGAATCTAACCTGATGGGCCAGCTCCTTTGACAAAGTCGCTCTGGTCAAAGCCAGCAAGGAATCGGGCAGACCCTCAGTTTACAGACATGACAGTCCCTGTGCAGGCTACTTTAACCAAGCCACCATAGGCTCTTGATTTCTCTGCATCCCAAGATTACTGCTCTCCACTTCTTCTCTTGCGTTTGTATCTCCTTAGGAAAAGGTGGTCACCTCCTGGGAACAGGGTCAGGCTGGGAAAGAGGGCCTAATCCTGCTCCTTCTCTCAGCATTGGAAGGAGCAGGGAACTCGGTGGCTGCCTCCGTGCTGTACGAGCCCCTACTACTTGAAGCAGCACGGCTCAGTGTGTTTGCCACAAAAATTAATCTGGCCTTACTGACAGCCACAGCACCAACTAAATTTCATTTTCTTGATATATGTTAAACCACCTGCAGTCTTAAATTTATGAGTAGGAGGCTAACAGTCCTCTTTAAAGAAGGAGGTTGGGTAAACAGGTTCTTTGTTCCCCCTGTCCCCATCTTTGTTTTGATTCCAAAATCCCAACACAAATTCTGCCACTTTTGGCACAAAATATTAAGACTTACTGAGGTAAGACTACACAAAGCAAGTTAATACTCTAAAATAGGGGCAAAGGGACTTGCCTCTCCTTCACATTATTATACACTTACAAATTGCATGCTGCAACTAAACAAGAGTGAAATTTAGTAGACAGCACAAACAGGGAGTAAGAGAAAACATTTCCTGGAGAGGAGATGATTCTTTTACAGTGTGGTAGTGCCATCATTAGGTTAGGGGTTTTTTTGGGGGGTGGTTGGTTGTGGTTTGTGCTTTTCATTGTTGTTTTTTTTTAAATAAGGAATGAGGCAATGCAGAATTCTGACCTTTATGACATAAGTAAATTTAGTCCTCAGCACTGGCTACAAATTGCCTATTCCAACCAAGAAGTGTTCAGCTAAATGGGAGGGAAAAAAATAGAACAAACAAGGCAATAACACAGGACACATGTAAGGTGCAGCACTAGAGCACGTGCACAGAAATCAGTCACTACTTTACCGTGTGTGCAAGACTTACTTAAGTTTTATAAAACCAGTTTGCTATTGCAATAAATCATTCTAAACATTGACTCCAATAATAAAGGAACTGAAGCTTACTTTTATTCAGGTTGCTTTCCTGTTTATCATTCATTCTACAACAACGAATCTAATAGGGATACATAGAAGTGTTGTTTAACATTTAAAAATGCCCAGTAAATATGCCCTAAACTGCTGTATTTGCTCTGTTTCCCTTGTTCCTCTTCACTGCAAAGCCAGGCAACATCAGAGATGGCAACAGCTTCATCATGAAGGGAAAAAAAAAAAAATCCCAAAAGAATAATTTCCATAAACAATTTACTTCAAGTAACTCAAGCAAAGAGCTTGCGTCTCACCTTTCAGAGACAGCTTTTTCCCTTGTCATCCTACTGCTTTCCAGAACATTGCAACATACAGATGGAACCAACCACTAGTTATTCCCTTACCCTGCCCTCTCAGTCATAAGCCTCAAAGGGTTTGTTGTGCAGCAGAGAAGCTTGGCCATTCTCCTTCCCCACTTAACCACCCCCACCCCCCAATCATGATTCCCTCTCTTCTTCTGGGATAGGGAGACCATCAGGTAATTTTTGAACAGCTGAATTCTCCAGCTAATAAATCCTTAGCATGCAGCAGACAACCAGAAGCAGATGACTATACCAAGACAACTGTATTCAACTAAGCAGAGGGGAAAAAAATAAAAAGCTTTAGGTTAAGCAAACCAATATGAAACTCTGACAAACTGATTTAGCACCTTTGGATTGGGCTGCTGGTTTTGGTATTTGTGAGCACAATCTTGCTACCTTAATTTAACAAAATCTTATGCTTAAGAAGAAGTGGTCTGAATTCTATACCAAGAAACCAGCAAAAG